TCCATCTGCAAACACGCATCCGGCGTGAAGCGCATTACTGGTGTCTGACGTGGAGAATTCCACAAACTCTTGCCACGCACCGTACATTTTAAGCAGGAGATGAGTGTGCCTTGAATAACGCAGTGGGCTGCTTAATGAGGTTGCCATTATGCGTGATGTGCTGTGTCTGAAGTTTGCTAATTTTCTGACCTGGTGAAATAGATTTTAATAAGCTTGATGTAGCACAGCATATAAAGACAAAGGGAAACACTTAATGGGGCTCTCACAATAAAGGACTCTGAGCAGGCTTGGAGATGCTAAGATTGCTTCTAGATGCATCTAGAATTGACCAAAAGCTTGGGAAATTAATTCTCCACTTCCACGGAGCTCTGCCCTGCCCTTTGCTTGGTCCCTGCTGTTTGCTCTTGCATGGCCGGCGCTTTTCCGCTTCTTTAAAGACAAACCACCGGTGGGAAACACGAGACATTCCAGACAGGGCTTGTAGCTCCCTCCCTCCGCGTTCGCGTCCTGCGGACTTGGGGAGAGCTTCGCTAGAGTCTTCAATCAAATCCCAAAGAGTTAATTGCTACTAAACCATGATAATGAGTTGTGAGTGACTTGGTGGAATCCAGCATCAATTCTAGATGAAATTTGGGTTCTCTGGGTGTTTGTTCTTCTCTAAATACTGAGCTTTTCGTTGTTAGTCTAAGGCTTGAAATGGCAGCAGGTTTTTTTCTCTTTCATTCTTGTTTCTTTATAGAAAGGGAGGGGGAGGCTGAGACAGGCCTGAAAGGTGAAGGTTTTAAACATAAAGGGATTGTTTTGGGACGGAGCTTTCCCTTGTGCGTGCTCACCATTAAAGACTACATTTTTGTCCAGTAAATTGGACCCACGCCTGCCTGCCTTCAAAAAAAAAAAAAAAAAAAAAAGCAACCAGGCTCTTCTGCTTCATGGTTTTGAGTCTCTGATACTTTTGAAATGAAGCCTAAAGATCCTACAAAGAGGATAACACTGCCTAATGGAAAGAATAATGCAAGCGAGAACCCATTTGAAATGACAGCTGTGAGCCTCGCGAAGCTTTTCTGTGCTGATCAAAGCTGCTGGTAACGTTGTTTGAAAAGAGGGTATCAGTTTCCCCCTCGCCTCTTCCCACTCAACCTGCAGATGATTTTATAGTCCAGACTTTGCACTTTTTTCCTGGGAGATCAAGTGAACCTCCTAAGTGACCGGTGTAAAGATCAGCTCGCCGGGGAGCTCCGTCAGTGTAAGAGGCAAAGTGGTTTGGGGGGGGGGATAGACCCTCAGAGCTCCATCCCCTGGCGTGCAGGGTCCTCTGAAACCCCCCTCGAGGAGACACGGGGGCCGCGTGAGACCGAGCAGCAGTATTCAGCTTTTCTGCCAATGTCTGCAAATGCTCCAAACAATCCGTGAACAGAGAGGAAGGATTTTGCTTGCTAGGTGCAGTTTTATAGTGGCTTTTATTTTATTCTCCATGCGTGTCCCATAATTTTGGTTATTTTATGAAGTTCAGTGCTGGAGCCAGGTGATAATTTGAGCATCTCGGCTTCCATTTTTATTCTTGGTTTAAATCCCTGTGTTTATTGCTGAAGTCTCACATGACCTCGCGTGGCCCAAGCGCTTTAGCCGTTAGAAAACAGAGAAAATTCTTTGCATGATATTTTTTTTATTTTAAGAACTAATTTCACGATCTTTGTGACTGCTTTTTGGTTTGATTCCTATCGTCTGGCTGTTTGTAGAGGACGAGGTCTTGTGTCCTTTGGGGGTGCGAGATATTTGAGGTCCTCGGGGGCGGAACGGAGCACGGCGGGTCTGACGGAGTCAGTGGTTTCTCACAGAGAAGGCGTGGGCTGCACGCCCGCGAGGTGTGAAATGGCTCCTGGGTTCTGCAGTTCGCTCCTGGTTGCCTCGTAGCCGGTTTGAGGCTGGGGTAAAGGAGAAACTGGTGGTTTGAGCAGGGGACGATCCCCCCAGAGCGGGAGATGGAGCGAGGGAGCGTGCCCTTTCCCGGGAGCCCTCGGGTCCCCCGTAGGGCCTGGCCCTGCGCATGCAGCGTCGCTCTCGCCAGATTTGTTCACAAAGCCCCCGGGAGATCCGCTAAATCCCAGGCTCCGGGCATTTTCTGCTCAGTGCGAGACTGCGGGGCTGGGCGCTGCCCCCCTAGATCCAGCCCTGCTGCTCTGGGCATGTGCCCCCCCTGGTCCCCCCCGCTCCCAAACTCAGCTGTGCCTCGGAGAAGGCAGTTGCTTGCAGCCAGGCGTTGGCTGAATCAGTGACCTTAGGGCAAAGCATTTAAAACCAGATGTGTCCATCTTCCCTCGCACGAGGCTGCTTCAGTATTTAAAGTGAAACTATTGATGCAGGAAGCAGAAAAATTTATCTGTGAAAAATTGAACTCCAAATACTGGCTTTGGCTCGTTCAGAGCAATAAAAGAGCATGAAATTGATGCGAATCCTCAGGGCTTTCCTGGACAGTGTGCGAGCCCATTGCAAACCATTTATTGTAAAATATCTTCTAATTGCGATGCCTAAAGTGGGCACTTTGGTCCCTTTGAGCAGCTTTGGTATCTTGTTTTCCCTAGGCAGTCATGAGCAGTGGCTACACAAAGAGGGACAGGGCTTCAGCAGGAGTTGGAGCGCCTTAAACAAACACGATGAAGGAATTGATCTCTCCCTTCACCCCTTTTGATTTTCCAGTTGACTTCAGAGGGCAGCGGGCTCGGAGGAGCCGGGCTGGCACCAGCCGCGCTCCCTGCCTGGCTGGGGGTGGCATCCAGAGCGCCCCACGGTCGATGCTCCCGTTGATTTCAAGGTGCTCTGTCTGGCCCGGGCACCCCTTCCTGGCACCCAGTTATCTCTGAGCCGCCTGTTAAAATGATCTGGGAGCGTGCCGGCCCCTCGGCAGCTGGCTGCAGGGTGCACAGAGCCCCCCGGGGTCCCCCACGGCCAGCAGTCCTGTGTCCCCAAAGCCACCGCTCTGTCTCCCGGAGAAGCCTGCGCTTCCCGGGCACTGCTAAGGGCACGGCACTCGCTGGCTCTGCCAGCTAACGCTTCTCCTTGCCCCCCTTGGAGGCGTCCCCCGTGCCTTGAGCCCCCGTCAGCAGAGCGGGGTGGATCAAAATCCACCTCTGCCACTGCCTGGGGACCCAGCGGCTGCGTGTCGCCCTGTTTTAAACCCTGATGCCAGGGGAGGGAGTGTGCAGACACACAGCCTCACCAGAGCTGGTCTGGGGGACCAGCAAGAGGTTCCCTCTGGGGGCCTGGAAACCAGCAGAAGTGCTGCTGCTGCTTTCCTCTTCGCTGAAGAGCTGCAGATACCTCAGCTCTGAAATGTTAATAAAACGGTGCAACAGCACAGGCTGATAGAGGCAGAAGTTTCTTGCAGTACACAAACCAGGTTCAGTATTAATTGTCCTGTCACTAGTGCTGTTCTTTAAAGTCTTCACTGATGCAGAAATTTAATAATAATACAGTGTGACCAAAGTGCTTAAAAAATGCTGTAGGGTTGGTACAAGGGGCATTACAGAGATCAGTGCTGGAGCTTGAGGCCAGAAACTACGAGAGCCCGGCTGCACCCTTGGCTGTCTGCAGATGTCTTTCTCAGAGTCACTTGGTTTCTTTGTGCCTCGTTTTATCCCATCTGGGACGTGGGGACGGCGTCGGCTGCCGATCCCTGCTGAGAGGTTCGGGAGCAAACAGCCACAGAAGTAAGTTAGCAGAGCTGTGAGCCCTCGGCAGCACGGTGACGGGGAAATCGGGTTTCAGCTGGGCGAGCTGATCAGTGCAGGGCCTGGCAAAGGTCATTCCAGTGGGGGGGATTGATTCCCTGTGTTGGATTGATTGAGGGATGCTCCAGCGGTGGAGCCAGGCTCTGTCTGTACTGGGAAGCAGGTTTCTGCCGATGCTGATAATCCATCCCTGTTCCTGTCTGGCGCAGCCGTGGGGCCGTGGCGCTGGCGCTGCCCGGCCGCAGCGTCCCCGGGCAGGGCGCGAGCAGCCGATCACACTTGAGCTGTCTGGAGTGCCATGTCACGCGGATGCTTTTATCTCAGAACGGGGATAATAGCTTTCTTTGGGGCTGGGGGGATTAATTTTTCACACATCTGTCCACTGGAATGCAATCGCAGATCCTTTGTTCTGGCTCTTTCCGTGGAGTGCCTTCTCCACCCTTGTTATTTCATTCTTCTTTTGCATGGCAAAACTTTTTGTCCTGCATTTCAAATAGATACTGAGCGTCCCTGGCAGTTGAACAAGGGAAACAAACTTTCCAGCCCTGGTTTTTATGCTGCTTTCAGTGGGTGCTTGGTGATTTGAAGGGTATTTGATTGGTTTTGGCAGAGGCGTTTTATTCCGTGGAAAATCCACAGCTCCTCTGATCCCTTATGGATGGTTTAGGGAGCCCCTGGAGCCTCCACATCAGAGATTTGCTGGTGGCCAGCTGGTCCTGGGCGTGCCGTGGGAGCTCTGAGGACACTGCTCCGGGGGCACGCGCCATGGTGGGCAGGGACCGGAGGAGGAGAGGCTGTAGGGACGGTGCCAGCTCTGCTCCTGCCTAACCCGCAGCAGGAGGGCCCAGGGCTTGGCCTAGGCCTGGCTCTGCATGAAAACAAAGCCCAGGAGCCTCAGCTCAGTCCTACAGGTGCTTCCTCTGCTGTTGGGAGGTTGGTTTGACTCTAACACCGAGGTCTTCTCACTCCAGCATATCGCACCTCCAGCCCTGAACGCACCTCAGGGGACCCGACGGGGTTCGGCGGCTCCATCACCAGCAGGAGAGAATTTAGCGCTTGGGTGTTTGGTTAGAGCATTCCCCAGTCGGGATGTTCTTCCCGCTCTGCAGAGGTTGTACCAGTTCCTCAACATAATAAAACCGAACAGATTCACATCGGCCTTCAGGAGCAGGGTTTGCTGCGCGGCGCGTGGGCTCCGCGCATGGGGAGCAGACAGCAGCGTGGGGTAGCTGTGCATACATTTACCTATACTTTTTTTTTTTTTTCCCCCAACAGCCCTATTACCATATTTAAATGCAAGTATGTCTTTTTTTAATTGATGTTTTAAGTAGCTTCAAGTCACTCTAGCCTAGTTCTCTGCTCCTTTCCCCCTGGTAGATTACCTGTAGCTGAGACAATAGTGCTAGAGGTAGCGGGCTTGTAGTCTGCTGATTTCTCTGGGTCTCGCTCTCCCCGTTCCTCTAGCTCACTGTTCTCTTTTTCTGTTGCCTCAGTTGTTTTTCTGTGGTTCTTCAGCATTGCAAAGCAGCTGTGATCAAAGTCCTGGAGCCCGCTCAAGGGGCAGGTCCCGTGGTGGTGACTACCCCTGGGGTTGTCCTGTGGGGCACCAGGAGCGGTCGGAGCTCCCCAGACCCCAGGAACCTCCGAGGGGTTTGCTGGCTTTGCAGCAAGGAGGGTTGGGGTTCTCGCTGATCCCTTGGACCTTGCCGTTGCCCCCTTAAAATACTTAAAGTCAGAGCCTGTGGCAGATCTTTTGAATATTAATTAAGTAAAGAAACTAAATCTGCAATCTTGCTAGCAGCATTTCATTCATCCGTAAGGGCTCGCTCCCCCTGTAGCAGGGTGTATGTCTTAGAGCTCCTTGATCTGCGGCTGTTTTGCTTTCAAGAGCTTTTTTTCTTTCTTTCTTTCTTTCTTTCTTTTTTAAATTACATTCCAGTGAATTTTTTCTGCTTGATCCCAGCAAATCTGTGATCTTGACATGAGGACCTCCTCATATTTTCCATTACTGCTATGTCTGTAGATCAGCACGTTATTATCACTTGCAAATAAGCAAAGAAGAGAATTCCCCCGTTGTTTGCGGAGCGGCTGACCCTGCCCGTTTGAGAGTCCGGAGACGTAAGCTGAGCGCCGCAGGCTCTGCCGCCAGCCTGCCCGCCCCGGCGCCTTGGCTTCCGCAGCGTGCCGTGGCCACGTTCCTCTTCTGCCAGGGGGATTTGGGCCACCTTTGTGCCGGTGGAGACCCCCGGCAGCGGGCACCTGGCGAGGGCTCGGCTCTTTCTAAAAACGGCGCCTGTTGATGGCGCGGAGAGCCGGGACGGCGACTTCTGGAAACGCCGTGCCCTCAGCGGCCACCCCGCAGAGACTCGCGGTACCCGCTGGCTTCTTTCTTTACCCTTCTCCTTTTCTCCACGGCCAGGTTTTCCGGCAGCGGCTTATGGACCAGTAGCAGCGGCAGCCGTGGCGGCAGCAAGAGGATCAGGTAGGGGGGCCCGTGGAAGAGCAAACCCTCAGAGTGCAGGGTCAGGTAAAAGCTCTGTCGGTATTCTGTGTGGCTGCAGCTCTCCATCATTTCTCTGATTTTCCTCACACTTATCCTGGGGACCTGAAAACAAACGATATTTTTAAAAAAAAAAAAATTATATAAAAAATAAATAATCAATCCCAAACCAAACCCAAACTACAAGCAGAGGCCACGGGGCCTGGAGCACCTTGCAGGAGATTGGCGTAAGAACTGCCAAAACCAGGGTAGATATTCTGATTTGTTTCTTTATTTATTCCTTTATTATGTTGGTTTCTTTGTTTCTTTGGTTTAAATTCGAGGCTATAAAGGACACCCCAAAGAAATTGATTTGCGTTTTTGAAAAAAAGGTTTCGTTTCTCATGGAAATCTGGCGTTGGGTTGAGGCTACGGCAGCCCCGGGCGCTCCCGCCGTGCCCGGAGCCGCTCTCGCCTCCTGCGCCGCGGCCAGCACAAGGGTCGGCCTTCGCGGGCACCCCCGGGCGAGGGG